CTTAACAGCAACCCAGTCAATGGTGCTTGGCTTCCTTCAGGGTTGCTTTCCTTGCTTTTGTCAGTAGACACCGCCGCACTCCTAAACCTCCGTTCTTGGATTTCAAGTTGATGCTTAAATTCAGGCTTGCCTGGGCACCACCGGCACACTCAGCTTGATGCCCAGCTGGACCGAGAAGGGGTTTACTTGGAGCAATACTCAGATCCTAATGTGCAGCGAACATACAAAGAATGAGAGTAATGTGTATATAAACGCCATAGTACTACTTGCAGGTTCATCGGACTTCTTATAACTGGGGTTGTAAGCTGCTGAGTTAGATGCAGTTTTTACTGGCCTTTGGTTAGCTAGNNCTAGGAATGAAGGAACTGATCCTTATAGCAGTCCCTAAATCGCGCATTATAGTAATTTCATTTTCTTTTCCATTCCTTCATTCCCAGCTAACCAAAGGCCAGAGTAAGGCCCATGAACCTTCAGTCTAAACCCTAAACCCTAAACCCAAACCCCAAAGCCTTAAACACCCTAAACCCTACGGCCCATGAACCTTAAAGTACAACATCTGTTTACCTGGGATGGAAGGTGTTCAGGCCAGGCATCCGCCTGGAGGGCTGAAACAAAGATTCCATTACCATCACTATTACCATTACTATCACTAGTTCTTATTACTATTACTATTACTATTACTATTTCTAGTTATCATTAATGCATTAACATTACCTTTACTATACTAGTTATTATTCTTATGACTACTATCACTAATACTATTACCATCATCAGGACTAGTTATGATTACTAATACTTTTACTACTATTATTATTATTGTTATTATCTTTATTACAATTGCCAACAGTAAAAGGCATCTCCATGCGAAAGATGATAGGGTTCAGGGGTTTTGGGGTTTAGGGTTTAGGGGACATTATGGTCCTTTCTAGGATACCTTACACATAAGGGCTCATAAGGACCCACGTGATGCTGGGAACGCCAAGCAGAGGCATAAAGAAGCGACAACCCTTCCACATACTTGCAGGTCCGTTGCACTTATAACGTACTTAGTAACTGTAGTTATGACCCAATTATATTGAGGGTAATTGTAGTTATGGTAACTATAATTAGGTTATAACTACACTTACTAAGCAGGTTTTAAGTTCCACGGACTTCCAAGTATCACCATGGGCAGCCAGCGGATCCCCATTTTTTCTTCGTAATCCGAGGTTTGACCGTGTTGTACTATTTAGAATATGGCAGTTTCCCAACCTAGGGGACCCCGACATGAACCCAAAATATGATGTTCCTTATTATGGGGAACCCCCCATACGGTACCCCTGATTTTGGGACACCCCTGTATATTATCACATTGCCCTAAACCCTAAACCCTAACCCCTGAACCCTAACCCCTAAACCCTAAACCCTAAATCCTAAACCCTAAACCTAGATGTTATCACCATCACCTAGCCATGGGCTCAGGATTTTTTTCCGTGCTTGGCATTTGCCGCAGAGGCCGGGGTCTGATTTTCGCAGGATCATGTAAAGGTTTTAGAGGTTTTTAGGGTTTAGGGGTTTAAGGTTTAGGGTTTAGGGGTTTATAGGATTTAGGGTTTAGGGTTTAGGGTTCACTGGGTTGGAGATTTGGGTTAGGGGTGTTGGCTAGTAGGAGCTGAAGGAGATACTGTATACAATGAAGGACATCCGGTG